CTTACAAATTTTTGTAAATATACTTATAAATATTTTTTTACATAACTTTAGTTTATAAATAATTGTGCTTATAATAATTAGATTTTTGTAGTAACTTCATGATTAAAATATAATTTAATAATTTGTAAATTAAAACAATTGTTTATTCATATTTGTTTTTTTTAGTTGATTATATTAAAAAATTGTTAATTTCTTATTATTATAATATTTGGATTAATTTTGTTTATTCTTATTTACTAACCCATTTATATTCTAATCATGCTTATTATTTTGTCAAATATTGCTTACTAACCCCCTTTATTATTTATTATTGCTTATTTATATTTTATTTATCTTTGCTATTTAATTATTTTGCTTATTACTTTGTAATTGTTTCTTGGATGTAAAGTTGTTTAATTATTTAATTATTATTATGGTTAGTAATTAGGGAGTGTAACAACATGTATGTAATATTAAAATAAATTTAGATCACTTTTAAATAAAGATAATTAAAATAAACACGTCACACACGTAAGTCGATTTTAATCGCCGTCTCACTTCCTAAGGATATCCCTCAAGTTGCCTACGAATACTGGTTAAGTGGGGTGTATAAAGCAAGTCCCTCAAATAGAAAAATCATCAAAGTCCCTTATGGTTGCCTTTACGAATCGAGTCCCTTTCGAAAAATGATGATGGTCCCTTATATGTGCTTATTACATCCCACAATGGCCTTCAAAGTCAAATTGTCCCTCACATGTCCCTTAACATCCAAAGTAAGGACTACCTACTCCATTATAGTAGGGATAGTCTTACTAAAGGAAAGAATGAAGAATAAGAAAGACCTTTAAACATTAGGGTAGGTTACTCCTAGGTGCTTGCTCACTTCAAAACTGTTTCGCACTTAAACAAATTTTCAACAAGTTTTCAAACAAGTTCTTAACACATCCTTACATGGATTATTTATTAACTATTCTGAAAATTTTTCTATTCACACACTACACTTTCAAAACAATTCAAAAGTGAGCTTAAGTACCTAAGAGCCCATGGATAACCATGGATGAAAAGGGTGCTAACACCTTCCCTTTTCATAACCTACCCCCCGGACCCAAAGTATTCTCTAAGGTCTTTCCTGTTCTTTTATAACCTTTCCTTATGGATAAAATAAAAGTCGGTGGCGACTCTTGCTATCCGCAACATTGTTTAAAGTCAGTTCACCGGGTTACAGGGTGTTACATCATGTATCTGGATCGCCAAATTAATGTGACTCTTGGCTATTTGCAAAGAGGCAGGGCAGAACACATAGTACGGAAGCCAAAGGGTTAGGAAGGAAATGTGTTCCTCGTCGTAAGCTTCCACCAAATCTTTGACATGGTGATCCTCGATATAATACTTGAGGGAAGTACGGTTGAAAGAGAATGTGTTCTCAGTGGAGAGAGTGGGGTCGAAAGTTTCTCCCATAGGAGAAAGGCTAGTGATGGCCGCCACGTCGAAGAGAGTGGGCATCATCATGCCACAAGGGAGGTGGAAGGTATTTGTCAAACCTTCCCAAAAATAAACCGACACAAGGAGCATGCAGGGGTTGACCTTGTGAGCTTGTCTCGAAATTTGTATGGCGTCGAAAATGCCAACTATTTTCCATTGCTCTTGGCGTTTCTTTTGGACTTTGTTAAGCTAAGCCAAATACTCCTTGTTTCCAGGAGTAGACATCAACCGAAAAACCCTAGCGTTGGAATCCATGAATTTCAGGTCGACGGAGCTGTTCTTTTTTAAGGCAGGTGGAATGGCGGGAGTGAAACAAGGAAAATACTCCTGCACCTTCTTGGGGTGGGTTTTTGCACCTGGATATGGCCCATGGAAGGCTAAGAGTTTATCAGCCACCATGTTGTTTCCAGTTTTCCACCATAGCTTTATCAGTGGATGATGGCACATTAGTTAGAGTGAAGGCTAAAGGGTTTTTGCCGATGGCGTGAGCTACGGAAGCCATAACTGCTTTAAGAGAAAAGAAAAGAAACGAAAAGGGTGAAAAGGTACTGAGAATGCAGGAAAATAAAAGCAAGAGGAAATGTTGAAGTTTTAGAAAACGTAGGTGATGGAGAAGGGAAGAAATGAAAATGGTGGAAGAGGTATTTATAGACACTAAAGATCAACAGTCACAATGGACAAGTTGCAGTCAGCGGTGGCTCACGACTGTTTTGTTTCCACTATAGTGGGAGATTTAATGAGGGTAGCTGAATACCCACAACCTAGGGAGTAGCTAGAATCATGACAAATGATGGAGTGTCCTTTGGGAATTATGGCGCAAAAAGTTACCATCATGACGCGTGATGTTAGCAAACGTGACATAAAGGCGAAATTCGGCTGAAGAAACTCTCGGTCGAAGCTGGCCTTTTAGGGGGCAATTTGTTAGTTGGCAAATTTATACCAAAGAAAGGATAATAGGGTCAACGGGACATCCTGCAGACTATGTTCGAAGAGGTCTCGACACCTGTCAGAAGAATACCAAAGATGGCTCAACAAATGATCACCCTAGTCGAAGTCGAAGGCAAACTAGAGGTCCCAGATGAACAATAAAGTGTGTGATGGATGAGAACGTGGGAAGTTGCACAGATAGTGGGAAAACATGGGTAGACACGTGGCAGGCTGGGGATGACTGACAGTAAAGTAACCGTTGTTTTTAGGTCTATTTAAACAGTTTGGGGTCACATTTTATAGCATTAAGAGATTACACTCAAAGTACCTATGTGAGAGAAACGAGTAAAACTCTACAAAAGTATGCATACGTCCACTTTTACACTTAATCAATTTATCTTACAGGTCTTGTCTTTCTTTTGTTTGTTTCCCTTTTATAATTTCGATGTACTTTTCTTTCATTGATTTAGTTTAATCTTGCCAACGTATTATTTCATCTACCATTTTAAACCTAAGTGTTCAAACGTCTAACCTATATTTAACACATGGTCTAGGATTCTTGTAGCCGATCTTGCACGTAAACTTTAACAAGAGGCTAGAGGTTGTTCGCCAGAAATCCCATACGAACAGTTGCATCCAATTTCCTTTCTTGTAGGTTGGAGGGTAAATCGTTCATTTTTCTCGGTATTCCTATAAGAATGAATCCTACGCGCATCTCTTTTTGGAATTTCTGACTGCTCAAGATGGAATCTTGTCTATCTAAATGGAAAGGTAGAATGTTAAGCCTTGGAGGAAGGATTACATTGCTAAAGTTTGTTTGGAGCAGCTTGCCAGTTTTTCTTATGTCATTTTACAGGGCTTCAACTCAGATGTGCAAAGCCATTACCAAGCTTCAAAACAACTTTTTATGGGGATAGGGAGACGGAAAAAGGATGATTCATTGGGTAGGGTGGGAAAAACTCTGTTTGCCAATTTCATTAGGAGGTCTCAGATTCAAACGCGTAGAAGAATTCAACCTCGCTTTACTCTTCACATGGAGGTGGCGTCTCTTAGAGAATAGGGATTCATTATGGATTAAAATTTTGAGAGCAAGGTATGGTGATGTTTCTTTTACAATTTTTTCTAATTCTTCAGTAGGCTACCGCAGCAGTAGGTCTTATGGCTCGTTATGGTGGACGAACATCTCCAATTTGGAGAAACAACATGATGGTAGTGTATTCAAAGATAAATGTAGCTTTGTTTTAGGTAACGACAAATCGTTTTATTTTTTGCACGGTCTTTGGACTGGTGGTGATAGGCTGAAAGAATCTTTTTATGATTTATATAACATTAGTAGATTGAAAAATTCGAAGGTGGACGAGATGTGTGAATGGTCACCAGAAGGATGGAAATAGAGCGATTTTGGAATCACCGATAGCTCTTATTCTTCTGTTTCTATCAGAATTCAAATTTTGTGGATTTTTCTCAGCATGTTCATTTTAACTCGCGATTCTGCAGATTGCGTGGAATGGAATTCTGATTTGAGCGTTGGTTACACAGCGAAAATTGAATATGATATGTTATGTAACGGTATGTAGAATTCTAACTTAGTTGTGGGGAATGGATCTTTTGAGATTAATTGGAAATGTAAGATTTTGTTCCGGGTTAAGGTTTTCTTTAGAGGCTTCTCTTGAATAGATTGTTCTTGAATGACCTTCTTTTGTTTAGAGGAATTTTCTTTCAACAACACTGCCTGCATTTTTTGTAACGATGAGATTGAAAATCAGATTCATCTTTTTATTCAATTGCGACATTTCCAAAAGAGTGTGGCGCGATGTTTCGCTTTGGATTAGTATTGAGGGTCAGCTCATGGTTGATGATATCCATAGTAATTTTTTATATTGGGTGGATTCTCTCAAAAGGAAGAAGGTAAAAGCTGGGAGGGAAGGAATGATTTGGTTATCCACTTGTTGGAGTTTATAGATTTTGAGGAATGACATGATATTCAAAGATGAAAAGTGTATAGTTTTTGATTTGCTTTGAAATATCAAGCTTTTGGCTTGGTGGTGGTCTCGGTAATGAGATATTACTCATTCCAATTGTAATTTCTATGACTTTTGCAAAAATCATTTGCATTATCTAGTCTAAGTTTCAATTGATTTTTAATCTCTCTTGATTTTTCGATTATTGTATATCTTTTGTAATCGAATTAGAGTATCCCTAATACTCTTTTAATTCAATCCTTACTTAAAATTTTTTTTTTTACACATGGCCTCTTAAAAGTTTAAAACAACTTTGCTTAACCTATTAAAATTTACTATTTTTTATTATAAATTTAATTTAATTTATTTAATATGAAAATTAAATATACATAACATTAACAACTTATAATAAACTTTTATTTTTACCTTCTACCATTTAATTTTTTTTTCATTTTAATTTAAATTTAAATTCTCAAGTCTATATCTCATTTAGTTTAATTTTTTTTCAACCTAGTTCACTCTATTGGTTGGTTTGACAAGTTTACTTGTGTCAAGATTTACTTTAAGTTTCATAAGCATAACCTTATCCAAATATTTGTAGCAATAAACATTCCCCTATCTTTATCATCAGTTAATGGGTGCTGCATTGGAATGGCAATCCACCTTTCAATTTTCACTCCTTCAATCATCACGTTGAAGTTGAATACATGGCCCAACAGAACCCTAACCCATCTCAACTGCTTAACTTCCCCCCAACCATCACCCTCCTCTCCGCATTCCGATTCAACCTCATTCCAAGTCTCCTACCTCGTCAACAATTTCGATTTCTCCCCACAATTCGCTTCCAGACTTTGTTCCGCCTACCGTGTTGGTTTCAAAACCACCCAAAACCCTGACTCTGTTATCCACTTTTTTACAAACTACGGTTTCTCTAATTCCCAGTTACGCGACATGATTGCCAAGGCACCATGGCTGCTTTCCTGGAACCTCTCCAAAACGGTGTTGCCAAAGATTGAATTTTTTCTCTCCAAAGGTGCTTCTAACTATGACATTGTTCACCTTGTCAGTAAGAACCCTAGAGCCTTGTCTCCTAGCTTGGAAAATCATATAGTCCCAACCTATGAATTGCTTTATAGATTCTTGCAATCAGACAGGGACTTTATTGCTTCTTTACTTCAGAATCCATATTTACTCTCTCACCATCTTGTGCCGCGTAACATTACAATGCTGATTGAGAATGGAGTCTCTGACTCGAATATTTTGAGAATTCTTCGAAACAGGAGTAGAATATTGAGTGCGCATAACATGGTGAATTTATTGGAGGAATTAAAGGATTTGGGGATTAATCCTTCAAGATATGCTTTTGGTGTAGCATTGATAGCCAAAACATCAGTAAGCAAAACCAGTTGGAAGAAGAAAGTTGATGCCTTTAAGAAATGGGGTTGGTCTGATGAAAATGTCATTGAATCATTTAAAAAGCAACCTTATTGTATGTTAACATCCATTGAGAAAATTAATTTAGTGATGAATTTCTGGGTAAATCAATTGGGCTGGAATGCTCTGGCCCTTGCCAAACAACCGGTCATTTTTTGCCTTAGTTTGGAAAAAAGGATCATTCCGAGGGCCTCGATTCTACAATTTCTTCTGAATAATGGTTTGAGAAATAACAACACAAGCTTAACTTATCCATTTGCAGTGTCTGAGGAGGATTTTGTTGATATGTTTATAAATCGTTATGAGAAGGAGTCTTCTTATCTATTAAATTTGTACCAGGAGAAACTCAAGCTCGCAGACACCGGGGACAAAAATTGCATGTCATGATTAGATTTTCAGGTATTTGAAACCTGCCATATCGGTGTTCCATATTTGATTTGAAATTTGTTTCGAACAAACTCTGATTGGAGCTAGTTTAGGGGTAGGGATGAGGGAAAGTCACCATGATTTTCTCTCTGTCCCTTTCCTGTATTAGCTTTACTTACTTTTAACAATTTTGCGTTAGTTGTGATTGATATTTATTCAAAATCCTTTGTTTATCGAACATCATATGATTTGCAGGTGCTACATGTTAAAGTTTAACTTTCTTGCATTCATGGTATGGAATACTTGTTTTTGGAGTGCCATTTCTCGTTCCATGTTTGTTTAGCTCAATAATCATGGACAGACAGAATATATTGTCTGATTTAAAATGGTTTTAAATTGTATTTGTAATCATGGACAGACAGAGCCATAGTTATATGGTAGCTGTGCATATGTGTAGACTTCTGATACATCAACAATTGAAGTTACACTTCTGGTTTTGGATTTGTAGAACACAACACAACTATTTAACATACTTACCAGTTAGCATTATGCTTTAGATTGGTGTTGTTTCTAAATACTCTTCATTTGGTTTTCTGAACTTCAGTGATTCATTCCAAGGGAAGACTTGTGTAGTTTCTATTACGGATGTGCAACAAGTTTCAACATATTTGTTGTCTTTTTGAGCCAATAAATTTTATGGACTTATTTCATTTTTCCACTTAGGAGAATATCTTATTCACCTCTTAAATGTAGTTTGTCTCTTTTCTTTTTGAGTACTATATTCTCATTGAAAGAATATTTCTCAGATTTAACTACTGTTTTAGATCAATTTTTTACTCTCTTAATGTTTAGAGGAGTGATATAATCTTTTTATGAACCAAGGCTTTCTGATAAGTAATTGTAGTTGGGTCTAACTCAACCCTACAAAACCAATTGGTAGAGTGAGGATTGTTCCCACTTATAAATGTTGGTGCAAAGATAGAATAAATGATGAAATAGGGAAATATTCTATTAAAGAGAATGACGGCTACAAAACATGATTAAAAGTTACAATGATTGTCACCCTATTTATAAGCTAAAACTAGGGTTATTAGAATAAGATAAAATACTAAAATACCCTCTAACAAACTTAGGGGCTAAGGAAAATAGTACAACTAAATAAATATAAATTACTATTAATATTCTAATACCATCCCTTAATTCATATTCCATCAAAACTTGTAACACCAATTCCATCCCTTAGTCTGAGAAATTGATCAGTCTTGATAGATTTCGTCAGAACATCTGCCAACTGCTTCTGAGTGCTGCAGTGTACAACTTCTAACACTCCACTCTGAACTTGATGTCTCAAAAAATGATACTTGGTCTCAATATGCTTGCTTCTCCCATGTAACACTGGGTTTCTGGCAAGATTGATTGCAGACTTGTTGTCAATCATCAACTTCAGAGGTTTGTCTACTTTAATCTTCAGATCCTGCAACAGATTCAGAATCCACACAGCTTGGCATGCAGTAACAGCACCTGCAATGTATTCAGCTTCACAGGTTGACAACGCCACAACAGGTTGCTTCTTGGAACACCAAGAAATGGAACCTCCCAGAAATTTGAACAAGTACCCAGATGTACTTCTTCTGTCAACTCTGTCTCCACACCAATCAGAGTCTGAATAACTCAAAAGTTCTGACTCATCCTTTCTTCCAGAAGGAAACAACACTCCATACTTCAGAGTTCCCTTGATATACCTCAGAATCCTGACAGCAGCTTGATAATAGGACCACTTAGGTTTACTCATGAACCTACTAACCATCCCAACAGAGTAGCAAATATCAGGTCTGGTATTGCACAGATACCTCAGAGAACCAACCAACTGTTTGAAGGTTGTAGCGTCCACATCCTTTCCATCAGAGTCAGAATCCAGTTTCTGATTTGTATCAGAAGGTGCGACAACCATCTTACAATTCTTCATATCAAATCTCTTCAGAAGTTCTAATTCATACTTGAGCCGATGCAAAATGATACCTTTCTCAGAATATCTGAACTCCATCCCTAGAAAGTATGTCATTTTGCCTAGATCAGTCATTTCAAATTCATTCATCAGAACTTTCTTGAACTTGGTTATCTCCTGTTTAGAACTTCCAGTCAATAGTATATCATCAACATATAAACATACAAGAGTCATATTGCCTTCAGAAGTATGCTGAACATAGACACCGTACTCCATCTCACATTTCTGAAAGCCTTGCTTCTTGAAAAATGAATCAATCTTCTGATTCCAAGCTCTAGGGGCTTGTTTCAGTCCATATAGAGCTTTGTATAATCTGTACACCATCCCTTCCTGATTCTTTTTCACAAATCCAGGAGGTTGTGACACGTAAACTTCTTCTTCTAATGGACCATTCAGAAATGCAGATTTTACATCTAAATGCATCAGAGGCCAATTCTTGTTAGCAGCTATTGCAATCACCATTCTGATTGTTTCATGTCTTGCTACAGGTGCAAACACTTCAGAATAATCCAACCCAGGTTTCTGTAGAAATCCTCTGGCTACCAACCTTGCTTTACGTTTGCCAATTGAACCATCTGGCTTTAACTTCTGCTTGAAAACCCATCTAACGCTGATGGCTTTCTTGTCTTTTGGAAGTTCTGTCAGCTTCCAAGTCTTGTTTCTCTCTATAGCATCAAGTTTTTCTTTCATGGCCTTCAGCCAGAGCTTCTGCTTAAGAGCCTCCTCTGTACTTATAGGTTCAGAGTCTACTAACATGGCACATTGAATAACTTCTCCTTCAGAGTCTACTTCAGTGTCTTGCAGCATGTCAAATTCTGCAAATCTTCTAGGAACGCTTCTGATTCTTTGTGGTCTCTGAACTTGTTCAGAGTCTTGAGCTTCAGAGTTTCCAGCTTCAGATGGTTGACTTCCTCTAGAGCTTTGACCATCTTCAAGATCTGGCATATTTTCAGAGTCTTGGCCATCTTCAGAGTCTGAATTTCCACCAGAATCTGGATTACCATCAGAGTCACCTTCATCTTCTGAGTCTTCTCCAGAGTCAGAATCACTATCAGAGTCAGAGTTTACTTCAACTTCAGAAATTCTTAATTCTGACCTTTCTTCAGAAGTTCTAACATCAGAATCAGATTGAGACTTATCCCAATTCCAAACTTCTGATTCCTTCACAATCACATCTCTGCTGAATTCAATTTTATTGGTTTCTGGACAATAGAGCTTGTATGCACCTGTACTGTGGTACCCTATCAGAATCATCACTTTGCTTCTATCATCCAGCTTCTGTCTTCTGGCTTCTGGAACATGTTTATAGCAAACAGAACCAAACACCTTCAGATGACTAACACTTTGCTTATCTCCAGTCCACTTCTGTATTGGAACTATTTCCTTCAACTTCTTCGTAGGACATCTGTTGAGTACATACATTGCAGTGGCAATAGCTTCTCCCCAGAGCTTCTGAGGAAGCTTCTTCTCCTTTAGCATGCTTCTCACCATATCAAGCAAAGTACGGTTTCTTCTTTCAGCAAGACCATTGTGTTGAGGGGTATAAGGAGCAGTAACCTCATGCTCAATTCCATTCTCCTCACAGAACTTCTGGAACTCTTTGGAGTTATACTCACCTCCACCATCAGTTCTAAGAATCTTCAACTTCTGACCACTCTGATTCTCAGCCTTCATTCTGAACTTCTTGAATTCATCAAACACCTCATGTTTAAATTTAATAAGGGATACCCATGTCATTCTTGTGAATTCATCAACAAACAACACAAAGTACTTATTCCCTCCAATTGATGCTACTGGAAATGGACCACACACATCAGAATGTACAACTCCCAAGGCATGTTTTGCTCTTGGAGCAGCTTCTGACGCAAATGGCAATCGTGGTTGTTTTCCTTCCATGCAAACTTTGCATGACTTCTCAGCCTTCTTAATTGTAGGAATTCCATGTACCAGCTTTTTTGAATTCAGATGTTTTAGGCTTCTGAAATTCAAATGACCAAATCTTCTGTGCCACAGCTCACTCTCCTTCTCAGCACATGTTGCACTAAGACATTCTGAGTCTGCAGTTCTGACATTCACCTTGAATGTTCTATTCTTTCCCTGTTCTGACTCCATAATCAACTTCTGATTGTAGTCATACAGCTTCAGAAGATTGTCCTTCATGGTAACTGAAAAACCTTTCTCAATTAATTGTCCCACACTCATCAGATTGCTTCTGATGCCAGGTACATACCACACGTTCTGAATCAATGTTGTTTTCCCATTGTTCAGAGTCACTCTGACATTTCTCATACCTTCTGCATTAAGATATTTGTCATCAGCACATCTGATCTTTGTCCTCTTTTCAGAGTCAAAATCAACCAGCCATTTCTTGTTTCCAGTAAGATGATTTGAACAGCCAGTGTCCATATACAACCAGTCTATCAGATCCATATTATCAGATTCAGAGGCCATCAATAGCACAGATTCGTCATCAGAACTTCTGGCTATATTTGCTTCTTCTGATTTCTTCTCCTTGTTTGACCAACAATCTCTAGCAAAGTGACCAAACTTCTTACAACAGTAACATTGGATCTTCTTCTTGTCATACTTCTCTTTTCCCTTCTGAGCATTCTTTTGCCTATCAGAGATTGAGCTTTCTGACTTCTGACCACCATCAGATCTTCTCTTGGCTTCTGACTGCTTCTGATACCTCCTATCAGAAGTTGCTTTCAGAGCCTGCTGCTCTACTTCCCTTTCAGAAGTTCTCTCAGTCAAACGCAACTCTTGCGCTTCTAAACTGCTTTGCAGCTCTTCAATTCTCATGGTACTCAGATCTTTGGAATGTTCTATTGCTACCACAATGTAATCAAATTGAGAGGTAAGGGATCTCAATACCTTCTCCATGATTGTTTCTTCAGAAAGAGTTTCTCCACACGCCTTCATCTCATTAGTGATCAGAATCACTCTGGAGATGTATTCAGAAACTTTCTCATTATTCTTCATGTTGAGATTCTCATATTGCTTTCTCAAGGACTGA